TTTATATATTTATATGTGGTGCTGAGAATCCAACCCAGTGCCTCACACATGCTAGGCAAGTGCTCTACCATTAAGCCACAACCCCAACCTCTCTCTTTTTAATATTAATGTAATTTTCAAACAAAAGTAGTAAGAATAACATAAAAATGCCTGTGTGTCCATCTTTCAGCTTTGATTATTAATCCTTGACTATCATGTATTTATCTTTGGAGCATTTCTTTAGAGTACTTTGAAGAAATTCCAGATGTCAAACTGTATAACTTGTAAATAAACTTAAGTATATTTATTTAAAATATAAGGACTTTTGGGGTGGGTATTGGGGATCGAATTCAGGGGCACTCAACCACTGAGCCCCAGCCCTTTTTTGTATTTTATTTAGAGACAGGGTCTCACTGAGTTTCTTTGCGCTTCATTTTTGCTGAGGCTGGCTTTGAACTCTGAATCCTTCTGCCTCAGCCTCCTGAGTCGCTGGGATTATAGGTGTGCACCGCAGCACCCGGCAAGGGCTTTTTAAATTTTTTTTTAAGTTGTCAGTGGACCTTTATAAGTGGTGCTGAGAGTTGAACCCAATGCCACACACATGCTAGGCAAATGCTTTGCAACTGAGCCACAACCCCAGCCAAGGACACTTTGAAAACATAACCACAATGCTAATACCACCAGTTACCTGTGACAAGTTCTGCTCTCTCAAATGCTGAAGTTTGAACATTAGTTAAGCATGCTGAGGCAAGCATATAAAGCAGGGTTTATTTAAAAAGGGTAACAGAGACTTCTCCCAGGAAGGTGAAGGGGGCCATAGCTGGTATCCTGGTATCCCAAGAAGTGAGGTGTTCTGTTCTTTTTATATGTCTTAGGCCTCCTTTGTTTTTCTGCCTTTTCCCCCTTTCTCCTTCCTGTTACAGGACTACCCGCCCCCCAATACTTGGTGGGAGGGCCTAAAGATGGGAAACAGGTGTGGTGGAAGGGAGAAGGGCCGGATGGTACAGCCCAGGACACTCTTTATAGCTCCCTGTAGGGAGGGGCAATTCCTGGGACAGGTTACCTTAGCAACAGTTTGGAGCAGGGGCAGGTTCTAGATAAGGGTGGAGGGAAGGGCTCCAAAGGAATTAACATTTAATTCTTCTGGGACAGTCTCCAACTTCTGGGCACTCAAAATTGGCCTAACTTGATCTGACCTGATTCGATTTACCTATCCAATCAGGTATATCGTGTGGTATATTAAGGAGTTCTTTGTTTAGACTGAAAGCTTAACGAGCTTCTTAGTAGCTTTAACAAAGAGGTGGTTCATTGCCCTTCTGGTCAGGGAATGTATTGCTGGCTCTTCCCTTGTACCTGACCCTGCGAGGAATTCTTTGGAATTCCTTGTCTGTTCTCAAACCTAAAGAAAGAATGATTAGTCTTAGAGACAGAGGTGAACACAGCAAAACTTGATTCTGGGTTTTTACTGTTTTTAAAAGGTAAAGTAGAAATTAGTAGAAAACATTAAGGTGATCATATAAATTTAGGTTTTAGCTTTACTCTCATTTGAATTATAAACTGAGGGTTCTTGGTACTAGTAATAGTCTAGATAAGTGATTTAAAACTACAGTTAAGGAAGGCTGGGAATGAAGCTTAGTGGTAGAGTGCTTGCACATGACATTAGATTCAAATCCCAGCTCTGCAAACAAAATCAAAAACCATGGCAGTAAGCAGTGTATGAGGAATGTATCTCTGTTATCTGTTATTGATATTATCTGGGTAATAGAGTAATGGTATGGTATCAAAGAACATGGACTTTGGAGTCAGATTTGGTTTATTTCTTTATCTTGCCATAATAATACTAACAACAGTAAGATAAATAATTTTTCATTTATTGAGCATACTTTGTATCAGATACTAAGTCTTAATTTATGTCATGTCATTTAATTTTCATATTAACCCTGCAAGAAAAGTTTATGGTCTTCATTTTTCCTAGTGGAGAAACTAAAACTAAGAGCAGTTAAATATAAAGTCTGTGGTATAGCTGGGTCTTTCTCTATAGTCTCTCTTCCTCTTACATCATGGTCTTCCTTCTCTCTTTGGAATTCTCTCAAGTTTCCCACAATTCCCTCCACAGTCAGTCAGTCAGTTCTCCTCTGCTGTTAGTTATTGTCAGGTATACTTAAGGCAATGTTTAAGAAGCACTGCTCTAAGGTCATCACAATATACATGTATCATTCCATTGTTACATGGGCTCTACAGTTCAGTCTATGGAATATTATTTTAATAGAAGAGAGAAAGAATGTTACAGATTGGTTAGGGAGTTTGTATTTTCATTAGTTATTGATTTCTTCCTATAATTTTCAACATTGGGCATTCAGTTAGGGCATTTCAGTTCTTCAGCTCTTCTACCCATTTATCTTTTTTCTCTCAATTTTGCTTTTTTTCAGAGTTTGAATTCTTATACAAATGGAGCATATGGTCCACCATATCCCCCAGGCCCTGGGGCAAATACTGCCTCATATTCAGGGGCTTATTATGCACCTGGCTATTCTCAGACCAGTTACCCTACAGAAGTTCCAAGCACTTATCGATCACCTGGCAACAGCCCAACCCCAGCCTCTCGTTGGATGTATCCCCAACAGGACTGTCAGACTGAAGCGCCCCCTCTTAGAGGGCAGGTTCCAGGATATCCTGCTTCACAGGTGAGCAGTTTTCTGTAGGAAAAATTTCAAAGTCTTTGCTTCTTGAGTTGTAAACAGTGGAAGGGTGTTTATTTATATTAGTGCTTATTTAAGAAAATGCTGAAGATGGTCAGAAGTTTTCCAGAGGTGAAGGCAGGGACTTCTTTTATATTGGATGCCTTTCTTTCTTGTAGTAACTATTTCAATAAATAGTTGAAGGTACCTTAAAGATGTCATAATCAAAAAATTTTTAAAGTGAAAGAAATTTTTTTTGTGTGTGATGGTGTGGTACTGGTATTGAACCCAGGGGTACTTTACCACTGAGCTACATCCCCAGTCCTTTTTACTTATTAATTTTTTTTGGTACCAGGAATTGAACCCAAGGATGCTCAACCACTGAGCCATGTCCTCAGTCCTTTTTTATTTTATTTACTTAAAAATATTTATTTTTTAGTTTTAGGTGGACACAGTATCTTTTTTTAAAAATTTGTTTTAATTAGTTACACATGACAGTACAATGATCTGGACATATCATCATTTGAATCAGATGGGATATAATTTCTCAATTTTCTGAGTGTACAGATTGTAGAATTACATTGGTCATGCAGTCACGTATATACCCACAGCAATAATAATGTCTATTTTATTCTGCTGTCCTTCCATTTCCCCCTCCCCCTCCCTTCTCCTCCCATCACTTCTCTCTACCCAATCTAATGTGACCAACTTCTTTTTTTTCCCCTTCACATCTTCATACCTGTATTCTGTATAATGAAAGGGGTCTTCTTCCCTCTTCCATGCAATTCCCATTCCTCTCTTCCCTATCTAGAGGTAATTTTCTTCTCATGCTCTTCCTCCCTACCCCATTTCAAGTCACCTCCCTTAATCAGAGAAGACATTTGGCATTTGTTTTTTTTGGGATTGGCTAACTTCACTTGGCATAATCTGCTCTAATGCCATTCATTTTCCTGCAAATGCCATGATCTTGTTATTTTTTTAGTGCTGAGTAATAATCCATTGTGTATAAATGCCACATTTTTTTATCCATTCATCCATTGAAGGGCATCTAGGTTGGCTCCACAGTCCAGCTACTGTGAATTGTGCTGCTATAAACATTGATGTGGCTGTGTCCCTATGCCATTTTTAGGTCTTTTGAGTATAGTCCGAGAAGAGAAATAGCTGGGTCAAATGGTGGTTCCATTCCCAGTTTTCCAAGGAATCTCCATACTGCTTTTCAAATTGGCTGCACCAGTTTGCAGTCCCACCAGCAATGTATGAGTGTAACCCCCCCCACCCCATCCTCGCCAGCACTTGTTGTTGTTTGACTTCATAATGGCTGCCGGTCTTACTGGAGTGAGATGGTATCTTAGAGTAGTTTTAATTTGAATTTCTCTGATTGCTAGGGATGGTGAGCATTTTTTTGTGTATTTGTTGATTGATTGTATATCCTCTTCTGAGAGAAGTGTCTACAGTATCTTTATTTTACATTTATGTGGTGCTGAGGATCGAACCCAGTGCCT